GCCACCACCACCAGTACAACTACAACCATCAGTAACAACCGATAACCAGGGTGGAAGCCCTGAGCCACAGATCCTGGTGACTATTGCCTGGCCCAGCCCCCCCCCCCAATCACAGCGGACCAATAGAACTAAAGTAAACACTGGAATCGCTAGCACTTTAATATTGTCTGATTACCGTTTACACTATTCATTAACTAATATATTGTATTATATATTAAGAATTGTATGAATGTTTTTATGTATTATATTTTATGTATTATGGTAACTTTTATCTGGTTGTGAGTCTCCCTGAGCCAGCCTAGGCTGGAATGGGCGGGATAAAAATCAATAACATAAATAACTAATAATAATAATAAATATTTCTCAGTGAAAATCAGTGCACGTTTCCGCATATCACATAGAAATTCACCATGCAATTTTTATTTATTTAAAACATTTATTAGCTGCCTTTTGACCTTGCGGCATTCAAGGTGGCTTACAATATAAATAAAACAGTTAGAAAACACATAAAAGATGACAGTTTAAAATCACAATTACGACTGCCAATACTCAAAAACTAAATTAGTCAAATGCAGTCCTCAAAACTGTCTTCAGCTGCCTCCTGAAGATCGAAAGTAAGGGGATACCACCAAAAAGGCCCTCTCTTGTGTGCCCCCAGATGAGCTTCTTTGATTAGTGCGACAGAAAGGAGGACCTCTCCCCGTGATCTTAATTTCCATGCAGAAACATATGGGAGAAGACAGACCTAGAGATCCCCTGTCTCAAGCTATAAGTGGCCCCAGGCTGCAGTCTAGTCACAGCATCCTGCACTATCTGCAGCTTCTGAACACTCTTCAAGGGTAGCCCCAAGTAAAATGCACTGCAATAATCCAGTCTAGATGTGACTAAGGCATGGATCCCTGTGGCTAGATCTGGCTGACCCAGGAATGGATGCAGATGATGCACCAGCCAAAGGTGGACTAAACCACTCTGAGCCACCTCAGCCACCTGGTTTTCTAAGGTGACCACTGTGTAAAGCCACACTTCCAAGCTACGAAATTGGCTCTTAAGTGGAAGTATAACCACATCCAGGACAACAGAGATCTCAAGTCCTCAGTCTGCCCGTCTACTAATCCAGAGAACCTCTGTCAGGATTAAGTTTCAGCTTGTCACCGTCATCCAGCCCATTACCAACAGGTGGAATCAGGTGGAAAAGAAAGGTGGATCTGGGTATCTTCCACATATTAGTTACACGGCAGCCCATACCTCCTGGTGACCTCTCCCAGTGGCGTCATCATATAGGTACTAAATAGCATGTGGGATACTAGTGAACCCAGGGGAACCCCACAAGCCAATGGCCATGGGGCACAGCAGAAATCCCCCAATACTATAAGTTCATTGGGCTTATGATGTAAAAGTCCCTGAACCACACGCAACAGCTCAGCTGGACAATTACATGCAGATAAAAAGGTGGTGGAGAAATATTGCTTTTCCACCATCACCACCACCACAGAATGGACTCTAGTATGGACTCTATGCCACGTCCAATCAGTCTCGCTCTGAGTTTTCCACCAGCAGTGCTCTAGCCAACGTTCGTTCTGTTTTATCACCACCAGTTCCTCAGTGAACCAGGAAGACTGTTTTGCTCTGCCTGGGAGGAAAGGGTGCTTAGGGGCAATGGCATCAACAGCCTGGGCCATTTCCATATTCCAGTCAGAGCCTTGACAAAATCATCAGCATCCGAGGTTGGAAAGTCACCAAGCACTGACAGGAACCCATCAGCATCTATCAGGTGCCTGGGGTGGACCATCTTAATAGTTCCATCACCCCTGTGGAAGAAAGAGGAAGTGATAAATCTGAACTCTATCAGGTAAATGATCTGTTCATGACAAGAGAGTAAGCTATAACCCCCCACTTCCATATCACCTTCCCCAGCAGTATAATAGATCAAATCCAGTGTGTGCACTGCTAAACGTGTGTGGCCAGTAATTACTTGGGACAGGCCCATGGAGGCTACAAAATTCTGAACCATTCATGACAGCTTGGCCTCAGGATGAATATTAAAAAGACACCCAAGTTCACCAATTCTGGGGTCTCCACCAGCACGCTCGAGACCAAATCAGGGAGACTGACGGCTGGGCAGTGGGGTGGATGGTACACCAACAGAATCCCTATGCTGTCCCGATCATCCATCTCCAAGAGCACACACAAATGGTAGACTACTAGATCAAGTACCTTGATAGACAGACTGAATCACGACAGACCACCATGATCTGCCTCCCTGGCCTCCTGGCCTAGCCTGCTGCTGTACAGAGAAGCCTGGAGGACAGAGCTGGGTCAGATTTATACCCCCAGCCTCATCCAGCAACAGTTCTGTAATATATGCCAGGTTAGCCTGCTCATCCAGGATTAAATCCTAAACAGTAGTAGGGTTTTTTCCCCCCATTTACAGACTTGACATTCAGCAGCAGACTCTTAAGGCCAAGGGAACCACCAGGTCTCCATTGGTTGTGAGGCATACTTGAAGGAGGAGTGGCTAGCCAGTGGCCAGGCCTCCTTCTCCTAGAACGGCAACTCTGTATCCCACCACTAAATCTCTCTCTGCCCAGGGCCAGGAAAATGACGGCCCCTTCCTCATAAGCAGCAGCTATCCCTTCAATAAGGAGGCAGTTGAAGACTAGGATTCCCACCCCCCAACCATCTCACAAGCCCTTTAGCACTCCTACTATCTTGGTTCTATAAACAAGGAAACAGGCCCTTGCTCTTGTGTCGTCTCTCAGTGTGGCTTCCTCCAATGTAGTGTTGCCCCTTTGGTGTTTTTCCCCTGCCAGTGGTGGCCCCATCCCTGCAAAAGCCCAGGCTTTATCCCAGGAGCCGAGGGAAAGATGATGCAAGCATGCCTTCTGTGCATGATACTCAGGGGCCTGCTCTGGAAAAGAGGTACAGACTTTAAGCAGGAATCCCACTGGTGAGGTTCTAGGCAGTAACAGCAGGCAGCTGGAAGATCTAGCTTAGCCTTCCCATTCCAGGCAGCCAGATTCTGCACTCCCTTTCTTGGCTGGGGTGTGGAGCAATCCTGAGCAAGCCACTATGTCGGCCTATTTCAGAGATAATCAGGCACAGCAACCCATTGCTGCTGCACTGCAGCTGTCTGCTGGTGTGGCAATACCATGGACCCCCATCTGAGCACCACCAGCACAACCCTCTGCACGGGAAGGGGAATGGGCAGGTGCAGGGGCACAGCACAAGCGAGTTGGCTCCTGAAATCGCTCTGGCCCTGGAACACTCCCCAGAACTACTGCAAAGTCATACCATCAAATACTGCAGCCCAAAAGAGTCCATGCAACAGAAACAGCAAATTCCCTTGCACAATCCCACCCACAAGCCACAGTACAAGATGCTGGCTATGGCTGCAGCCAATCCTATCCCTCGCTGGCAACCATCAGCCCCCCCCCCATCACAGCCCCCCACGACATCAATGTGAGAGAGGACACCTCAGAACTCAGAAGACAGGGCAGGCAGTGAAGAAGTCTGTCTCTGAGGTTTCCAGCTTGTATGCTCAGAGCACACAGTATTTCACTTGGTGGTGGGAAATGCCCAGAGAGCACTTAGCAGCGTGGATAGGGGCACTTAGCAGTTACAACTGGGGGGGGGGCAGATCTCCTTGCTGTGTCATGTCTCATGACGTGTCTCATTTCAGAACCCATACAGGTACTCCACACCCCTGCAGGCGCACACCAAAGAAGCAACCACACACTGAAAGGTGAGCAGGTGTGGGGATCTAGCGGAATTAATGAACATCATGTTCCTGTGCAGACTCATTGAACTGCAAGAGTCTTAATGATTAAACTGAAGCCTAGGGATGCCACAATTATTATTTTTAATGCTGACGTATGTTTTATCCCTAAATTAATTTCTTGAAACTAGGTTTCCCAGACCCCCCAGTGGACACGGGGGTTCCTGGCTGACAGGTCCCACCGCCCAGCCGCCAATCAGCTGGCCAGCGGGGGGAACCTACCCGAGAACGAGGGAGGCTCTGCTGACATGCAGTGATGTGCTTATGTCACTGCACACATAACCAGGAAGTAACATCATGACTTCTGGGACATTGGAGTAACACTCTGTTATTTGGGCAAAAACTCTGGTGAATTTGGCTTCTACCGTAGTTTTTGCCCAAATACTAGAGCACTGCCCCAATGTCTCAGAAGAGATGGCATCACTTCCAGGTCACATGGGCAGTGATGTGGGCATGTTGCTGCATGTCAGCAGAGCCTCCCTCCTGCTCCTGGTAAGTCCCCCCCATCCCCCCGCTGGTTGCCAGGAGGGACCCTATGTGAAACTAATTCTAAAATAAAATTATTACCTAATACAGAGAGAACTATATGCTTCCTATGAAGTGCTTCATATATAGTCTTAAGTATATATGCTTGCTTTCTTCCTTACAGCAATACAAAGTAAGCCATTTCATTATCCCCATTTTACAGAGCTGAGAGCCAGTAGCTTGCCTAAGGTCACCCAATGACTTCAGATGGGTGACTTTCAGCTCATGCTCTTGACAGCTGTGCTTCATCAGCTCTCAGACAGACAGTCAATTCCCCCCTACTTAACCACAGTTTGGTCATATTATGGCAGCCTTAAACTTGTCTCATGCCTGAAGACTCAAGACATCCAGCAGAAGTGAACTTATGGACTAGGTCAAAGTATGAATTCAGTACTTAAGAATTTCCTCTTCTACATTCACTACTCACACCCCCAACTTGTGGGATCTATCTGCACCTCTAGAAAGGAGAAGGAATGGGAAGTCTTTTCACTGTCTATATTAAATGTAGCCTGAAAAAAAATTTTTTTTTCTTCTAGGAACAAAAATAATGGGTTGACTGTAGTCAAAATGGTTGCTATTTTCAGGATGCACATCTTGGCTTTAAGACACTGTACAGACTAATGCCATTAGGTTGGATGCTAAATAAACCACAGATATTTTTGTAGTATTACTGATCAGGCAAAACAATTCAAGGACTTACTTGTGTAAGATCAGGAATGTCTCCTTTGTCAATCCCAACTTGCTGTAGATTAAAAAAAGAGAATTTCAGAAAGGGGCCCTCATATGTTTTAAGTCCTGCAAATGGAGTCATTATGTTTACTTAAGAAAATTACATTGGATTTTGCTGAAATTTTCAGCAATGTGCTTTACAGCAGGTTTACTGTAGTTTTGCAGCACTTTGAGATTATTGCAGCTGTCAGCCTAGAAGTAGAGCACTCCTTTCAGAATCAAAGATTCAGGAGAGGAGTAAACAAGGCCAAAGTGACAAGGTGAGATAATGTAACCTATCTTATTTGATTACACCAGTCTATATTCCAGGCAGTTTGTAGCTAATCACAGAAGTATTACAAACTGTCTCCCCTGCACCCTTAAAACTACACTGCATCTGAAGCAGGTCCCATCTTCTCCCCAACGGGAGGTTTTGGGGGGCATTCTGGGAGGGGGCGGGGCTGTCCCTGATGCAATGACATCATGCAAAGTGATGTCATCGCTTCCCTTTAAATGGATGGGGGGAAAGCAGGTGCCCCACATGCCTACCCTGCAAACTGTGAATTTGCGGTTTGTGGGGCAGGAGCCAGCAGCCCCACTTGGAAAGAGCGGGTACCACGTTCACCTGCCCTGCAAGCCATGAATTTGCCCCAAAAATCGGGGGATCCCCTGCCTGCTCCTGGGGACTGGCATCCCTAATCTGAAGTCTTTAGTCCCAACATAAGGAAAAATTGTTCCAACTACATTGGTATGTAGTATTTTCTTGCACAGTGACACTGCATATCTTTATGAGCAACATTTCCTCTCATAGCATATTTTCCAGCACTGAACATACCATTCTAAGTGTTATTTGGACACATACCCTTTACCCCACTCAACTGCACTATGTGACAGAATACAAGTTTGATAACTTTCCTCCTCCCTCTGTTGACAAAAATGAATGTTTGGACTAAGAAATCATATTTATTTAAACATGGGATTGATGGATCCAAAGAAGACTTCTGTCAGTGGAAGAGTACTTTCACTACCCGACAGTCTTATCTGGATTGAACTTGACCCTCATCCATCCAATTATATCCCTCAAGCATTTGTTCAAGACCCTTCACAGACCCCCTCCACAACTGGCTGTCATCCACATGTTGGTGACACCTCATCCAAATCTCAAGACAACTGCTTCAGGCAGTTTTATGTAGGTGTTGAATATCATGGGGGACAAAACTGAACCCCTGCAAGTACACAGCATGGATGTCATGAGAGCAAAGAGCAACCCTGCAGTACAATCTTCTGAAAGCAGCGAGCCTTATAAGGTGCAGGACCACTGATGTATGGTGCCTCCCAACTCAGCCAGCTTCTCCAGAAGGACATCATGGTTGTCTGTACTTAGAGGTCCAAGAGAACATGCAGGGATATACTCCCTGCCCCAGCCACTTGGATTCTAATGGGTCTAGGTAACGCATTTCTTCCAAGACCACCTGATGTTCCATGGCTACTACTCACTTACACATTGCCCAGAATATCTACATATCATCTCTAGCCCTCTACACAAGAGTTCTCCAAGATTCACTGTGGCTCAGTGGCAGAGCATTTGCTTGGTATGCAGAAGGTCCCAGGTTCAATCCCTGGCACCTTCAGTTAAAAGATCCAGGCAGTAGGTGATGTGAGACCCTGGAGCAGCCTGAGACCCTGGAGAGCTGCTGCCAGTCTGAGTAGACAATACTGATGTTAATGGACCAAGGGTCTGATTCAGTGTAAAACAAATTCATGTGTTCATGCATGAAGAAAGGGACCAGTGCAAGTGTACCTGCCCTGCCCCTCTGGCCAGGTGATCACTGGCTTGTGAGCGCAGCATGTATGCACATACATTCGCTCTCCATGATCAGGAACGTTTGGAAAGAACTGTGGTGCGATTCTGTTACGTGTACACAATAATCATTTATGTTTCTTAGGTTACTTATCACGGAAATTTTATTTACCTCTGCAACTTTTAGGAATTCTGATACTCTTGTCATTCTCGTCAGAAACCGTTTGTAGATTTCAAGAGCATCTTTACACTGGCCCTTCTTCATTTCAAAAAATTTCTCTGAGAAAAAAATATATACAAAGTTATACATCAACATCTATTAGCATTGTTTATAGCACTTAATTTCACATAACAAAATGTAGCCTAATCTTTACAGAATTATTTTGCGAATTCTGGCCTACAAGTCTTTAAAGAGCATATTGACTGAAGGACCAGAATGCACACTATGTCCTTTGGGATGAGGGATATTACTCATAGAGTTCTGAAACTATGAATCAGAGAACAAATATTAAAGGTTACTTAAAGTTGTTATACCCCTTGCATTGGAATAATTAGGGATGTTAGCCTTTTAAAAGGTAAACAAGGGATTCTAATCCACACTGGAGGGCATCAGTAAATATGACAGAAGACAATTTGGTATACACAATATCAGAGGCCAATATTTACAACACTTCGGGCCTGTCCCAGTCCTATGAACAGAGAGAGCACAATACCAGCCTGGAACTCACCCCCATTATTACAGTGTACTTTTAATTAACTACTTTTAACTAATTAGCACTTTTAATTAACTAGCATAAAAACAACCCGAGCATTAAAGCTGATTTTGCTGAAAGTTTACCCTGACCTAATCAGCTGCAATATTTATTTATTTATTTATTCAATTTATAGGCCACCCTCCCCACGAGCAGGCTCAGGGCAGCTAACACAAGGGCACACGTGCCAATATAAAAACATAGTAAAAACAGACTAAAACAATATTTCTAATAAACAAATAAAGTGCTTCAAGCTGGTCATGATCTTCAGTTTAAAGATGGTGGGGTTGGTATCCAGAATTAGGTCTTAAACTCAGTGGCACCCACACGTCGTAGTACCGCAGTGTGATCGATCTCAGGGCCACTCCTGCACCCCGTTGTTCCAAGCTCGTTGGTGGTGGTAGTGGCGGCTCCTACTCAAAAGCCTGGCAGAAGAGCTCCGTCTTGCAGGCCCTGCGGAACTGCATAAGGTCCGGCAGGGCCCTGATCTCCTCCGGCAGTTCATTCCACCAGATAGAAGCCACCAACTAAAAGGTTTTTGCCCTAGTAAGTGCAAGCCTGGCCTCTTTAGGGTCTGGAATCACCAGCAGATGTTGCGTCCCTGACCGTAGTGCCCTTGGGGGAATATATGGGGAGAGGCGGTCCCTCATGTATGTCGGACCCTGGCTGTATAGGGCTTTAAAGGTAATGACCAGCACTTTGAAGCAAATCTGGTACGCTATTGGCAGCCAGTGCAGCGCTTTCAGCACAGGTCGGATGTGCTCCCTCCTGGGGAGGCACATCAGGAGCCTGGCTGCAGCATTCTGCACTAGCTGCAGCTTCCGGATTTGCGACAAAGACAGCCCCACATAGAGAGCGTTACAGCAGTCTAACCTTGAGGTGACCGTTGCGTGGATCACTGTAGCCAGGTCATTGCGGTCAAGGAAAGGGACCAACTGCCGAGCCAGCCTGAGATGGTAAAAGGCCGACTTGGCAGTGGCTGCCACCTGGGACTCCATAGTTAGAGAGGAGTCCAGGAGCACTCCCAAACTCCTAACCTCTGACGCTAGCACCGAAGGCGCCCCATCGAAGGTCAGGAGAGGGATCCCCAACCCCAAACCAGCACGACTCAGGCCCAGGACCTCCGTCTTCGCCGGGTTTAGCTTCAGTCGACTCAGCCTGAGCCAACCAGCCACGGCTTGTAATGTCCGGTGTAGAACTTCTGGGGTGGAGTCCGACCAGCCCCCCAGCATCAGATAGAGCTGGGTGTCATCTGCATACTGATGACATCCCAGCCCATACCTCCAGGCAATCTGGGTAAGGGGGTGCATGTAGATGTTAAACAACATCGGGGAAAGCACTGCCCCCTGAGGCACCCCGCATTCAAGCGGGTGTCTCCGGGACTGTTGTTCCCCTAGCGCCACCCTTTGTCCCCGACCTTGGAGAAAAGAGGCAAGCCATTGAAGGGCAAGCCCCTATATCCCCACGTCGGCAAGACGGCGGGTCAGCAACTAGTGGTCGACCGTGTCAAACGCAGCCGACAATCTAACAACAACAGCGCCGCCATGCCGCCTCGATCCAGATGTCTCCGGAGGTCGTCAGTCAAGGCGACCAGCACAGTCTCCGTCCCATATCCCGGGCGAAAACCAGACTGGAAAGGGTCTAAGGTGGAAGTGTCATCCAGAAAGCCCTGTAGCTGTATCACTACCGCCCTCTCTATAAGTTTGCCCAAATATGGCAAATTGGACACCGGCCGATAGTTGGCCAATACAGCCAGGTCCAGAGTTGGTTTTTTCAGAAGAGGGCGGACCGTCGCTTCCTTGAGTGCCCTCGGAAACTGCCTCTCAGAGAGGGACATGTTGACAATCTCCCGTAGGGCACCTCGCAACCCCCCGTGGCCTGCTTTAATGAGCCAGGAGGGGCATGGATCAAGGCTGCATGTGGTTGGGTGCACAGATACGAGCAGTCTGTCAACTTCCTCCAGAATGAGAGGGCCAAAGTAAACCAAACCCGGAATTGAAGACGTGCAAGGGGCCTCAAGTTCACTCACTGTTTCAACTGTGGTGGGGAGGTTGCGGTGGAGCGCCAAGACTTTATCTGCAAAATAGCTCGCCAATGCCTCACAGCCAATATCCAATTCCCTAATATTTTGTCTGCCCTGTGGCAGAGTCGTTAAAGACTGAATCATCCTAAACAATTGGGCTGGGCGAGAGCAAGCAGATGCAATCGTGGTCGCATAGAAATCCCTCTTTGCAACGTTGATTGCCATCTCATAGGATCTCATAAACGTCCTATAGGATGCTCTTGTGGCCTCGTCGCAAGCTCGGCGCCACCGTCTCGCTAACTGTCTCAGTTCTCGCTTCATAAGCCGTAGCTCCTGGGTATACCAAGGCGCCAGCCTAGAGCGAGTGTGGAGAGGGCGCCTGGGAGCGATCTCGTCAATGGCTGTGGAGAGTTGGCCATGCCAGTCCTCCACAAGTTCATCCAACGAGCCGCCGGGGGCCTAGGATCCCGCAGGGCCATCTGAAACCGTATTGGGTCCATTTGGCTCCGCGGGTGAGCTAAAATCTGCTCGCCGCCTAAACAGGGTCGGGGTGGAACATTCAGATGGGCCTTCAGGGCATAGTGGTCCAACCATGGTACTCCCTGTGCAGTAATCCGGTCCACTAACACCCCAGCTGCGAAGACCAAATCGAGCGTGTGACCGGCCAGGTGCATGGGGGTCGATACAAGGTGGGAGCGTCCTAGCGCCACCATGGACGACACTAGGTCCGTTGCCTGATTGGAGGTCGCGTCATCGGCAGGGACGCTGAAGTCACCCAAGACTACCAGTCTAGGGTGCTCCAGTGCCCAGCCTGATACGGCCTCCATCAGGGACAGCATGCTACTGGCTGGTGTGTTAGGCGGTCGGTACACCAGCCAGATCACCAAACTCTCCACAGCCTCCAGCACCAGTCTGACACACTCCATGACCGTGATCTCCAGCGGTTGTGAATTGGTGTTGTGCAACACCAGGTCGATTAACAACAAGACCACGGTCCTTCGGGGCTTTGTGGAGGACCAACGAGCTGACCTGGCGTGCGTGACTGAGACCTGGGTGCGGGAGGGGGAGATGGTAGCTCTCTCCCAACTTGCCCCCCCAGGGTTCTTGGTCCTCCACCAATCACGGACTAGGGGGCGGAGGGGAGGAGTGGATATTTTCATTTTGGAGGATTCCTCCCACTGCTGGACGGAGGGGGGTATTCCATCCTGGCCCCACTGCCGACAACCCTTGGGATGGGTCGCAGGCTGGAAGGGCGCCGAGCCCCTTTGTTTCTCAGCGTCCTTCCCTTCATACTTCGCCTGGACCCACCACCATACTTCCCCTTCCCCAAGAGCACTGGAATTTGCTGTTCAGACATTGCAGCCACCGCAGGTCCACGTAAGCGCTTCAGACTACTGGTAGCTTACAAATGCTATTTCTCCTAAATACGAGCTGAACACTGCTCCAAGTCTCAGTGCTCATGACAATCAACTAAAAAATAGCCTAATCTGCCATAAAACTCCCAATGCTTATACTAAAATCCTAACCTAGACAGCCATTTACTAATACTACCCCAAAGAAACTATCTAACTTGGCCTAATCTATACAAGAACAGTACTAGTGCTAAACTATGTAACCAATTAACAATCACACTGGAATTTAAACAATTAGCAGGAAAAATACATTCTAAACCTTCTAATTGACATCAGCAACTGTATCGCTCAACAGAGCCTAGTTGTAAAATTCCACGCCTGCGATGGGCAAGCTAGAGGGTGGGGGGGAGGGAGGGAGTCAGAGGGTTGTTCCTAATTCAATGGAATTTGAAGATCAGCCACTAGAGGGCGTCTCGCTCTCCAACTCTGTTTGTTGGGTCCTCTGTGGACAGACCCTAGGGGCGCTCTGTCCTCCCAGCTCACCCTGGCTACAAGATCAAAGTTCCTCTCCACAATCTTCAGGGGGCCCCTGTCCATCCGATCCTGATGGTACAGGGGAGGGGTCTGCGGCCCGTTAGTAGTCTCCAATCCTCCTGTCCGACTTCCCCACCGTCACACTCCCACAGGTCGTAATCCTCGGTGGCCCTCAGCCCTCGACAGGCCAACTGCCCGGCAATACACTCAAGTATGTGCAGTTTGTAAATTAATGTCTTCACAACCCCAAATTACAAATACTAGCAAAGATGCTTTCATAGTGGTCTGTAAAAGACTAAAAAAAAGTCCCTGGGACTACCAGAATATTGAAGCATAAGCTTTTTGTGGGCAAGAGGCCACTTCCTTCTACGCATTGGAAAGTCACAATTCAACCAGTCTCTAACACAAATGACTTGCTAAATGTAATGCTCTACAGCCACATTCAAAACCGTACCTTCTCAGCTTCCTTACCTAGTAAGTTAATAACTCCATCATTGTAGCAAGCAAAAAGCTTGATGAGATCTTTGAAGAGAAGCATAAATGCAGCATTTATGACACCATTTGTCAGCTCATTTGGATGAACCTACATACAAATAAGAACCCATGTTTTTTAAGCTTGATTCACAATGCTTGGAAATAGTGTTCTTTGAATGTTAAATTAAATACTGTGGAATATTAACAATCACATACATTGTACACTCAATATTTAAGTTGGTTTTGTATACATAAAAGAAGATACAGTGATCTCCCTGACAGTGAAAGAAAGTTTGTAGTAAAACTAAAAACTATATTTATCACCTTCCCCTTTTCATATTTTCTAGAAGCTGCAGAAGAGACGTTTATCTTTGGTAACTAGAAATATCAGGCTTCAGTTTCATTCCCTGCAGGAATAGACAGGATGGCAGGAGGGAAATCCAATGTTAGCAGTTCCAACAGAATCTTGTGCACAGGGCTGGACTGTCATAGACCCCTTTTAGGCAGCTGCCTGGCACACCCCCTGAAGGGGGGGGCGCCAGGCTGGCCTGCTGCCCCTCCATCACCTCATCAAAAGCCCTGCTGCTCCAGACAGAGAGAAGGGAAAGAAGAAGCAGAAGCGGCTCCCCAGGGAACATCCCGCTCTGCCGCCGCCTCCCCTCTCTCCTTCCCCCTCCCAAGCCGTGCTGAGCTGGGTCAGGTCATCCTTAACAAGCACCGCCTGGGCATGGCTGAGCAAGCCGTTGTCTGCAGCAAAGGGACCAGGTGAGGGCACCGGGTGGGAAAGCAAATGGAGGGGAGGGACGAAGGCAAGCCACTGCTTTTTGCCTGGGAAAGGGGGGGGGAAGGAGGGAAGGGTGAAGGGGCCCAGCCTGCACCGCAGTCTCACCCCCCATGGCCATGTTGTCCGCAGGCTCTCGGTTAAAAAGTAAAGTTTTAACTTAAAAACATGTTTAAAACATTTTGGATTGCAAAGCACTTTCTGGGGCACATGGGAGTCGGAGGGAGCAGGGATCACACTCTTCTTTGCCCGTCCCTTCTTTTTTCCCCTTGGGAGTGCTGAGAAAGAGCTCCCCCTGCCAGCCCAGCACGGGCTTTTCTTCGTGGTGGGCAAACGGTGTGGAACTTGTAAGGGGGAGAGGGAACGGGGAGATGAAGGGCGCCTATGCGGGGTATGCGTGGAAAGGAAAACACGTGTGGGGGAAAAGAAAACTTGAAGTCGTGGCTGGTGCTTTGCTTGTGCTACGTTGCTCTGTGGGCAGGAGTCCCGATGGGCGAGGGGAGGGTATAGCAAACCATTTTCGTGAAGGATATAAAGGACTCACATCTTTTGCAGCCAGGGCTCTCCAGCCTTGCAAAGTCAAGAGAGCCCTTGCTGTTCTGGCAGTGCCTCAGTGTCAGCTATGCTGCCATGACCGGGGGGGGGGGGGGGGAATTTTTTCTCTGTGGGCCAGATGCTGCTTCTTTACTTTTGCTTCTGTACTGCTTGCTTATTAATGACCTTGCAGGTTGCTGGTGTAGTGTCTGGGATGCCTGGAACCGTGGGAGTGCTTTCGGTTCCCAGCTGCGGCCCCTAACGACCTGGGGACCCTTCTCCCGCACGCGGGAGCCTGGCTAATTGGCTTATGGAAAGGGGGGGTGCATACGAATACCCTATATCCCATTATATTCCAATTACCCATTATGGTGGGTAATTGGAACTCATGGCCACTCTTGAAATGGAGTGCTGCACGATAGCATGAAAGAGAGATCCCCTTCCATGAAGCTCACTGAAGGACCTTGGGCCAGTCACTTTCTCTCAATCTAATCTGATTTACAGGGTTGTCGTGTGCATAAAATTAAGGAGACTGGAGAGCCATCATTGTCACCCTGAGCTCTTTGGAAGAAGGGCAGGCTAAAAGTGCAGTCAGTAAACTGAATTCCCTCCTTTGCTCAGATGGAGATTTGGGCTGATCTCGTAGCCCACACAGTGGGATAATCAGGAAGCTCTCTTGCTTGACTGGAAGACAGTGTGTGTGTGTGTGTGTGTGTGTGTGTGTGTACCTCCTACACTGGCTTTGGTTTATAGGAGGCAATATACCAATAGAAATGTTAGCTCACTAAACATCAAACTCTTCTTTAGAGCAGGGTGCTGGAATAGAGGAACCGTCTGGATCCAGTCCAGATCTGCTGCTTAAGAACATAAGAGACGCCAATGTTGGATCAGGCCAAAGGCCCATCCAGTCCAACACTCTGTGTCACACAGTGGCCAGAAATACCAGGTGCCTTCAGGAGGTCCACCAGTGGGGCCAGGACATTAGAAGTCATCCCACTGTTGACCCCCCCAAGCACCAAGATGACAGAGCATCACTTGCCCCAGAGCCCCTATCTATACCTTGTGGCTAATAGCCACTGATGGACCTCTGCTCCATATGCTTATCTAATTCCCTTTCGAAGCCGTCCATGCTTGTGGCCGCCACCACTTCCTGTGGCTGTGAATTCCATGTGTTAATCACTCTTTGGGTGAAGAAGTACTTCCTTTTATCTGTTCTAACCCGACCGCTCAGCAATTTCATGGAGTGCCCACAAGTTCTTGTATTGTGAGAAAGGGAGAAAAGTACCACTTTCTCTACCTGCTCTATCCCATGCATTATCTTA